AAATTCCTAATTAAACTCAAACTCCAATTTGAACTCAAACTCCTAATTACCTACTCCTATTGGTAACTCACTCTTACTTAAGATAAGATAAAGATGAGATTAGATAAAGATAAGGGATAAGGGATAAGATAAGGATAAGGTAAGCTGGCGGCGAGTTGGCTTGATGAGTCCAGATAAGGATGAGCCCACCCCTATGAGCTGTCGTGTGGGCCCCGCTCTACTGTTGCTGCTGGCTGCCGCGCAGTGCGTGCGCGCAGTGCGTACGCACGCCTCAGGGTGCCGCTGCCATGCGCGCGCCTCATGGTGCTGCTACCGTGCGGTACCGGGTGTGTGCGCGAAGCGTGCTGGCGTGTAGTGCGTGCGGTGCGCGCTGCTGCCTGGCGGTGCGTGTTGCGCTCCATGGTGCCGCTGCCGTGCGGTGCCGGGCGTGTGCATGGTGCGTGCTGCCGTGCGGTGCGCGCTGCTGCCTGGCGGTGCGTGCTGCGCACTATCGACGGTGCATGCTGCTGTGCAGTGCTGCCAGGCGGTGCCCACTGCTGTGCGTGCTGCTGGCTATGACTGCGCCGCGGTGCCTTGCCGGATGGTGTGACCATAACATGGGCTAGGATACCTATACAGTTAGGAGATAGATCAATTTTATTAAATGTTACTTCTTGGGCATAAATTGATTGTAGTGTGAAATATTTGCACTAGAGTAAATGCATACAAGAGTAGAGGCAAGAGGAAGGTTACTTTTTTTTAGGAGAAGGTAGATAGAGAGATAAAAATAGTCGTTATTTTATATAGGGTAAAAGAATTACATATACCCTGAGTTTTTAACAATTAACTTAAATATACTTGAAGTTTTAAAATGGACTTAAACATACCTTAGTTGGTAGAAATGTTATGAACCCTTTATATATGCCATCATGTTATCCCTTTAAAATTTTAAAATCTTTATTTTGCCCTTCCATGCCCTATCAATAGTTAAGATGGGTGTATAAATTTCTTAAAGACCCAAATTCCACAATAATCCCTTAACAGAATATCCAGTGGAGTCAAATATTTAAAAATGTAAATTATAGGTAACCCAGCAACCCAAATTATAGAACAAGAATCTTTCAGAGAGCCATATGCAAAAAACTGCTGAGAGTTATAAGAAGAAACCTCCGATCTCCCTCCCTTTCTCTATGTTCTTTCCATTTCTTACAAGTTATGCTCATCGAGTTAGAGATTTTGCATTTTAGAACAATAATTGTAAAAAAATGGCATTAAAAAGATGGTTGAGTGTGAAATTTTTTGTTCAACATGGCGCAATTAGGTAATAGTCTAGCAAGAAATAAGTAAGAAATTTGGAACCAATTCCACCTAGTCCCGAACCGATTCTGACCCGACCCGGTATATATATATTATAATTGGGTCTGTCGGTCAGATTTGATTGTTCCAAGAACCAATTGGTTCCGATTCTATTTACTCCCCGCCCAAATACAACCAGTTGATAGCCTTAATTACCATATACACCACCACTGCATCCACTTGTTGTCGACAAAGATCTAGTAACATCATACAAGTGTATTTTCTTCTCTAAGAAAACAAATACTAATGTTATGATTAACTCCGGTCATCTTTTCGAGTTATAGTAGCACGTTCATTCTTATCTTAGAATTGCAATCACAGTTACATTTGCAATTCCAGATGCATCTTGGAACTGCAATTCTCCATACATTTTTTCTCTTTTTTTATTTTTGGTTTTGTAGCAATTCCTCTTAACTTGGTTTTGTTGCAAAAACAGAGGAGAGTAGGGGAGAAAAAAGGGGGAAGATCAAGAAAAAAAGGGAGAGAGAGAGAGATCTCCTTAGGCCCTTTTTAAGCCCTCCTGGCAAACCATGACAAATTCCATATTAGGTAACTATAAGGTTTTTCTATATTTGGTGCCTCGGTGGAAGACAGGTTGAAACTCTACCCCAAGTGAAACCAAATATGAAAGAGAGCTCACAATCTAATCTATGAACCTCTGAGGATGGCTAAGGTTGTTCATTAAAAGGAGTGAGCTAGAGGTAAACATGGTGTGGTTCTGGCTTTTTGGGTTTGCTCGGGTTCCCATTTCAAAGGAGTTCATGCGATTAATGAGTGCCCTGTCCAGACCAAGGCAGAGGGATTGATTCAATTCATTCAGATCAATAAATAAATGAAAAATTACATAGACCTTGTGTACATCCACAATCTATTCTCTTAGAAAATATGAAGAACAATGATAAATGTAAAAGTCTTTTTATCCATCTCATGAAAGAGATATTAAGAGCAAAATTGAGATTTTCAAAAAACTTAAATTCACGTGCTAACAAATATGGATGGAGAGTTGATGGATGAGATGTTTTTGTCCACTTATGTTACCCAAATTAGGGGAGGATTAAGTCCAATTTAAAATATTAGGGGATGTTTTAATATTTAGGTGAAATGTCAGGGAAGGTTCAAGTCTTTTACCATTTAAGTTTTTACTTTCTCATTTTATGCCGCATTAAAAAAAAAAAGGATAAGATAAGGGAGAGCAATTCATTGCATCAAAAATGCCTATCCAATGAATGGAAGAAATACAAACTAAATGGCCCAAGCTCTCCTACATTGAAGCAACAATCAACATTAGACTGAGGCAGTTTTAGGAAGTTGGACTATTGTTGCTGCTATTGAATGTTTAATGCAGATTGTGACATGAGATTTTGACGAGCGGTTAGGGGAAAACTCTAGCAAAGTCATCATGGTCGAGGAGGTAAGTTGCCACTTACGGATACCAGTTTGCCCAATTTGAACTAAGCATTTCAAGCCAAGCTAGCCAAGAATCTTGCTTGTAAAGCCTTTTTTGGGTTGTTCATTGCAAATCGCTTTGATTGAAATTTGAAGAACAATGAAGGCTAAAAAGAGTATTTCAGTTGATTCTGTTACATCTAATGGCCACAAGATATGCTTAAGTCCAATTAAAAAGCTCAGGGTATGTTGCATCATATAGGAGTGCAAGTCATAATCACAAACAAATGGAGGATCATATTTTAACTGCAAACAAATAGAGCCATTGGCAACGGAGACAACATTTCACACTCCTTTTTCGTAGATAAATTCAAAACATTATTTTAGTAATATATACATTTCAATATGCATATCCACAAATCCACATTTTCTCATCCTACTAAATCAAACTCCACAAATGCATTAGTTTCTGATTCCTATATGTCTGTCCATGTAAAGTAAGCCAGGATGATTTGTTTTGTTGAATTTCTGGTGAAGTTCCAAGACCTTGGTTGTGAAACTATGATAATGCAAGAAATAGAGTTTAATGTGATCCAAACAACAACCATGAGTACAATGAGTCCGATTGGGAGGTACCCTTTTCTTTCACAGTTTGTTTTGGGGAATAAGTTCAGGTAAACCAAATACATAATATTCTTTGAGAAAAAAAAAAAAAAGACCTTACCTGGGGAGAAACACAAATGTATCACACTTCCCTTGCATGCTAACTACAAAATGAATCAATATTAATTATTCTTGTGCTTGTCTAGATGGGACAATTGGATAAAGATCCAAATCTTATTTTACATACAACATCATACATTAAGTTGCTAGAAGGTAACAATGAAGTGTTCTTCCATCAACAACTCCCTGGAAAGAAGCGAGTAACAAGTATGTAAGCCTAACGAGGGAGAACATAGTTACAAGTGATGAAGCACCACCTATTATTTGCACGGCAATCCACTCCAGAGTACTCAAGATAAGCAGAGTGACATTCATAAGTAAACTTTAGCGAAAGGCAATGTCCCGCATAGCCAGAGTAGCTAGTTCTATTAGAACTATAGAATGCTTTCTCTTCGACTCAAACTAAATTTTAGTGATGTTCTCGGCATAGGGTCCACTTGGATGCACAATCCTGCAGTGCTCCAGATGAAATCTGCATTTCTGAGTACTATTTTCATGCTGGAGCAATCCATCTTCCATCAATTTTTATCTTCGGAACATGCTCTATCTTATACCATTCTGCCCCAGTTTCCTTCTGGCATCTCTCCTTCAACAATGGACAATTATCAACATTCAAATATTTAAGTGTTTCTGGAAGCCTTGGATCAGGGAAGGACTCAATTCTTGGACAATTGCTAATATCCAATAGTTGGAGAGAAATGAGTCCATGCAATCCTTTTGGAAGGGATATAAGTTGTGGACAGTTCAATACTTCCAACTCTTTAAGGAAAGTGAGGTCGCAAAGCAATTTCTCAGGCAGAGATATGAGATTAGAACATGAGATGATGCTCAGAAAATTAAGTGATTTTGGAAGCCCTTTCTCTGGAAAGGATCTCAATTGTTGACAGTTGTTAATCACCAGACCTTTCATAGCAGTTAAACTTTGCAGCCCCCCTGGGATGGACTTCAGATTAAAACAATCTCTAATCCACAAATATAGAAGAGATGTAGGAAAACCGTCTGGCAAGGTTTCTAGTTGGGGGCACTGCCATATCACCAAGTATTCAAGGGAGAGAAGGCTTTGCAATCCTTCCTTAGTTGCTAGAGAAACAAGTTCATCGCAGTCCTCGATGTCCAGTTCTTTTAGTGCCTTCAGTGATCTCAATGGCACTTTAAGTAGGGTTTTGAGCTTTCGAAGTCGAGAAACGGCCAATGAGGAAAGTAATGGGAATTTAGACAATGAGCTCAATATCTTCTGATCACATTCGTCTATTACCAGATTTTGAAGAGATGGAACAATAGGAAGACTTGTCAATTTCTCACAATTGCTTATCTCCAACTTGGTGAGGCTAGGAGGAAGATTCGGTAACACACTTAGCATTGGGCAACATGAGATGCTAAGATCACAAAGGTGATCAAATTCTCCTTCATCAACTCCAGACCAGACCTCCAAATTAGGCATATTCCTGAGTTTTAGCACCTCCAATGAGGGAAAAGTTGTGACCTCACAATTTCCATAAGACTCAGGGCTGATGCGTCTAATTTCAAGCATTCCATCGATTTTGAGGCTCTTGAGAAAAGGGAGCTTCCCAATAGGAGGTAAGTCTCTACAGTTTGTACAGTTGTATAATGAAATATGTACTAGGTTAGAGACCATTGGATACCTCATCCAACTTGGGAACTTAGTTCCACCATAGTTTTCTATTCTCAGCTCTTTCAGATTCATGTTGGGTTGTAGACTTTCAAGTACCTCTTCTTCAGCTTCAGGTTGTACACTAACATTGCCATCACTCCACTGCAACTTCAACTTGTGTAGATTATTTTTTGTATTCAAATAACCATTGTTGACATCCACCTTACTGTCCACATTCTCAAGCTTTGAAATGCAAATCGATCCTCTTAGGCTTATCATGTTTCTCAGTTCTTCTATTCCACAATCACTCTCCTTTCCCACGATAAAAATTGTCAATGTCTGAAGACAAGTTAATCCTCCTAGTCCAGGTGGAGTGCACACCAAATTAGAACATGATTCCAAATCCAGATGTCGAAGATTAATCAACTTCTTAATGTCTTTTGGCAGCACAGTAAGGTTAGAGCAATCTCTGAGCTTCAATGTTTGCAAATTATAAAGGCCAGCTATTGACTTGGGCAAGCTCTTGAGTAGTGTTTTTGACAGATCAAGGTAACGTAGAAGCCTTAGATTTCCAATTGAATCTGATAAATAAGTGATATTAGTATAACTTAGGTCCAACACACGTAAGCATTTCAGTTGTAGGAAAGGATCAAAAGGAATTTTCTCAGTGCAATGAGGAAATTTTCTCAACAAAAGAAATGTGCGCAACCCAGTACATTTATACAAGGCCTCAAGCATTTTTGGCTCTATTTCCTTACATAAAAATGATGAATGGCGAGCATTTACAGAAATGATGGATGTTTTGTCATCTTCAATTCTAAAACATTCATCACCCGAAACAGATTGGGCAAGTTCATGGATCAGATCGTGCATTGTATGCATTGATTCTTGCCCCTCATAATTACATGAACACTGGAAAAATGATCTGCGCAGCAGATCATTGAAGTAACCATTCCCAACATATTCCATAGATTTCCTTCCCTCAGGATGAATGAATCCTTGGGCCATCCACAAGTGAACTAGCTTTTCCTTGTCGAATGCATAGCCTTTGGGGAATATAGAGCAATACAGGAAGCACTGCTTTAGCCTTGCTGGTAAATGCTGGTAGCTCAATCTTAGAGCTGGCAAAATTTCAATTTGGTTTTGAGGCAATTCCCACGTTTCACTTGCCAAGACATTGTTCCATTCTTCTTCATCTATCTTTGAGTACAATAGACCTCCAAGTGCCTTTACTACCATTGGCAATCCTTGGCACTTCTTTACAATTTCTTTACCGATTCTGACCAAATTGGGATGAGCATCTGAATTCCCATCTTCAAATGCTTGATGTCTGAACAGAGACCAGCAATCATCTATTGGTAAGCTCCCTAGAGGATAAACTGTGGATCCCATAGACTCTGAAACAATTTCACTTCTTGTGGTTACTATGATTCTACTTCCTTGTCTTCCAACTCTAAAGGGGGTCTTGAGGTCACTCCAGTGGTTGCGGTTTTCATTCCAAACATCATCCAGAACGAGCAAGAACCTTTTTCCTTTCAATAACTTCTGAAGTTCAACTTGAAGCGGATCCAAGTCGATGAGATCAGAAGTTTTTCCGGTGACAGAAGAGATGATTGCCTTTGTAAGTTTCTTGACATCAAAATCCTCAGATACACAGACCCACATTCTTAGATCGAAATGCTTCTTCACCCTCTTTTCATTGTAAACAAGCTTAACCAAGGTTGTCTTTCCAAGGCCACCCATCCCAACGATGGAAATAACAGGAATATGCTTCTTATTTTGTTGGTCGGACAGCAATAAATCTATGACCTGATTTTTATCAGTCTCCCTACCAAATATATCAGAATCATCCATCAAGGAACTAGTCTGTGGCCTCTCTCTAACATGAAAATATGTCCCACCAACAACTTCTCTCAAACGGAGGTCAACCGTCTCTTTTACTAGTTCATCTAATCTAATCATTATCTCGTTTATCTTATGTGCCATATCAGAACGGAAGAAAGCTGGATTTGACGAATAAGAAGTCGAGAAGTTGCATACCTGGTTAGTTTGATTTCCCTTTTCAAACTTGACCTGTAGGATTCCTGTTGTAAATTGATCCAGTATGTCCTCTGTATCATAAACAACGTCTCTAAGATCTCTCATCCAAATCCTCACAGATTCCTCGCTTATTTGCCTCTGTTCTGCATCATTGAGCACTTCTCGTATTCTCAACAATTTTCTTGATAGCTTCTTCATCTCTTTGGTGACGCCCCATTGTAATCCGATCTCTTCCAAGATTGGGGAAGCTAAGTATTGAAAAACCACTTGGAAGAATGCTGATAGCACTGCATCTGCCAGACCCATGATATCGTGATCGTTGGAAAACAAAACTCAATAGGCTGAAACTTGGTTTGGCTTGTCTGCAAGTGCTATTTACAAGTGTGAAAAGCCATTTTTTCTACAAGAGCGGGTACTCGATCTAGCTGATATCTGACTCTAACCCATTCAAACTGGATCCTCCATTGTTCTTTGCAGCTGATGAGAAACCGTGGTCGCAACAGATGTGATCTCGGTTTTCATAGAGAACATAAACTTAGGCTTTGTAATGGCTCTGTTTCAAGACCCACAGAACGATGGATTGGAGATCTCCCTAATTCACTTCAGAATTCTTAATTTTGATAGTCGTTGATGCTTCCAAAATCATCATTTTCAAGTCATTTGCAAAAACGAAAAGCCTAGTGAGAAGGGATGAAGCACAAGACTAGAACAGAGTTAAGGGATGAAGCACAAAATCGTCATCTCCAATTCAAGCGCTTTTTCGATGGGTCTGAATGAGGTACATACGAGATACGACTGTCGGCGTTGTAACACGCTTACTGCTTTTTTTAGATGGTTGGGACTTGGGATTCTGTGCAATGGTGGAAGTGGAAAGTGGGTAAAGAACCTTTATTTATTTTATTTTATTTTGGAGAAACTTCACCTACCCATCATTGTTTTTTTGATAAATAATATTTGGGTAAATTACAAAAACCCCCCTATACTATGGGGTCTGTGAAAAAAACTCCTGTACTTTGTTTTGTGCCAAAGATCCCCTGTATTATGACCGTGAGACAAAGACCCCCTTCTGTTAACTTTCTGTTGACAAAGACCCCCCCGTGCTATTACCCTTCTAATAACTATTCGTAGGAGAAAAATACTGTTCATCTTTTTCCTCAAACTCACGATACACCAAACAACATTCTATCTCAGATTCTTTCACATTTCTCTCTCTCCCTCTCCCCCAATCTCTCTTCTTCTCCTTAACCTATCTCTCCTCCCCTTTCTTCCTCCTGCAACAACACCTTCCAACCCTATTTCGTCAGAAGTCATCTTCAGCACCATTCCATCGGGTAACATGTCATCCTCGCTGCCTCTTAGTGAATGGTGCCCCAGGAACCGGTGGGTATAGCCTTATGCTCTTGCAAAAAGACGCACGAGTTTAAACCATATTCTTCACCTGAGGGTGACTTAGATGAATGACCAAGTAAAGTGAGGTCCATGGCTTGTTACAAATTCTACCCCCCTCTTTTTCATTTTGATAGAATATCAAATTTAAATCCCCCTACAAAGCCAAGGTCCCCTTGTTCTCTCAGCAATTTCCTTCCACTTTAGGAAGAAATCATTTCTTTTTTCCTTTTTTGGTTCATTGATGAATGAAGATTTGACCCGACCTCGCAATCACTTCACGTGGCAAAAAGCAAAACAGCTCGGCACAACAGCGCAACCAGGGCGCAAGCACCAAAGGGAAGAAACCGGCAGTCCGAATTCCCTACGAGGAGCCCGACCTCCCTACTAAGAGCTCGGACTACCTACGAGGAGCCCGACCTCCCTACGAAGAGCCTGAACTCTCCCTTAGGCCCCGAGCCACACAAGGCAGTGACCTGAACTGGCCCGCCCCATGGCAGTTCGGGACACTCCCCTATCCAAACTCAAGACCACCTCGTTCGCCACTCCAGCACTTACCTCCGAGACACCGACTGAACAAACGTACCATACCTGACACCGAGGAGGTCCGTATCYAAGGGCGGCGCAMCTGAYTGACTTGGGATCTGACGCTTGACAGCCGCACTTCAACGGTCACCTACCACCGCCACCTGCCACCATCATCGCCAGTCACAGAGACGGCTCCGACAAAAGGGAGCAGTGGCGGTTCTGACCAGCAGAGGGGATGACACTCGAACTGGCAGAAGGCCAGAGGTAATCCTACCCGACCTGACAGAAGCTTAGGAGTGAGTGCGTGAGGTGGCTATAAAAGGCTTTCGACCCCCAAGAACAAGGTACGTGAACTTTGCGCCATCTGGTTTTGTCTTGCCTTCCTCATCTTCTAACTTGAGCTTCGGAGCATTCAGACCGGGTTCCCCCCGGAACTTCCTCATCTTCTCTGTTTCAGGCTCCCTATAGCTCTGTTCAGCGGCAAGATCGTTGACAGCTAGGACCAGTCGGATAGTGCACCATCAATTGGCGCCGTCTGTGGGAACGCTTCAAAAAGCCTCCCTCTAAACTCTCATAACCTCTTTTCTTCAAAAAACTCAAACACTCATGGCTTCTTCCAGCAACGCCGGACGTGGCACGGAGACAAACACCACTGGGGAACAACTTCAAGTCCCCGTGGTGTGCGTCGGATAGTTCACCATCCCCCTTTCGGTGGATGGGATCCCCAGCTTGAACGCACCACAAGTAGTGGCGCCCGTAAACCTTCCTGCCATGAGCATCCCCTTTACTCCCCCCATCGAGACAACCTTTACTGAACCAACTGCCGTGCCCCTAGCAACCAACCAAAACCGGTTGGACGACCTGATGCAATGCATGCGGGCAATGCAAGCCCAAATGCAACAGATCCAGCAACACCAGCTCCAGCAGCACCAAGTACTGCACAACATCTCCCAGTATCACTATCAACAGTAGTTCCCCCAACTGCCGCTGAACCAACCACTACTTTCGCCTCGGCACCCTGCTCTGAGGCCGGTTAAGGCCTCCCCACAGGATGGACCCCCACCGGGGAAAAGCCTCCCGGCCCCAGAACCCCCCTAACAGTCAGGCCTCGTCCCCAGGCCGAAGAGAGAGAAAAATCACCCCCGCTTCGCAGCTCACAGGCGGGTCAGGAACCTCGCCCGCAAGGTCAGCACCTCGGCGCTCCAGGCCCGAGTTCCCGCTTACGGAAAACCGATTCGGCGCCCTGGCAGCAGGCTACCAGCATTCCGGGCCCATCGAGCTCGGCAACACAGAGGCCACCAGCGTCAGTACCAGGCCCACTCAACAACGAAGGCACTGGCGAAGTCGCCGAATTGCCACCCGTGTCCTCCCAGAGCTCAGAGGCAAAGAAGAGACGAGCTCGGACGAGGTAGGAGCTGCCCCGATTCTCTCAGTCCCTTCCCCCCTCGCATCAGAACTCCTGGCGGTCCCCTTGCCCAGAGATTTCAAACTCCCACCTTTGGACAAGTATGATGGGTCCTTCGACCCCAACGACCATGTTGACGCCTTTCAGTCCCAAATGCATCTCGCCAGGGCCAGTGAATCATGCATGTGTGTGGCCTTCACCACCACCTTCAGGGGGGTAGCCCGCACTTGGTACAAGAACCTAGCCCCCGGGTCGATAAGGTGTTGGAACCAGTTCGTGCAGGTCTTCACCGCACACTTTATCACCAGCAAGCGATGTCCCATAACAGAGGAAAGCATCTTCGGAGTAGTCCAGAGAGAAGGAGAATCCATCCGGGGCTACATCAAGCGGTTCAATGAAGCGTGCTTACAGATACTACGGTTAGACCCCGCGGTGCAGCTCACCGCGGCCAAGAGAGGAGTAACGCACAAAGAGTTCAAATGGCACATGGTAGCTAAACAACCCGCAACCGTGGCCGAATTCCTCAAGCTCGCGGATAAGTTCATGAGAACGGAGGAAGAAATCAACCAACGAACCGAAAGCGGGAACGAGAAAAGAAAGAGGGAAGGCGAGCCCTCCAACCCAGTCGGTAGAAAAAACCCGGCCCAAGAGCCGAAGCCGAGCTAGTCGTTCCGAGCTCCCTTAGCAGTTCGGACGGATTACACGCCGTTAAACACAAGGCGGGCCGAGATCTTAATGACGATCAAGGATGTCCCATACGTAAAGTGGCCACCTCGCCTAAAGGGAAATCCAAACGAGAGAAAAAAGAATTTGTACTGTAGTTTCCATAGAGACCACGGTCATAGTACCGAACAGTGTAATAATCTCTGAGACGAGATAGAGGGACTCATCCGTCGCGGAAACCTAAGAAATTTTGTACAGCATGACAATAATAACAAGGCAGGTCGGCAAGGGGAGCACGGAAAGGATGCCCCCGAATCTAGTAGCAAACCAGTCGAACCGTTGCAGCGACAGCCTCCGGAAGAGAGGCCAGTTCGGGGAACCATCCATGTAATTGTGGGAGGTTCGGTGGTAGCAGGGTGTACTTCGGCAGCAGCCTGGACGTCAGTTCGCGAAGCGGCCCAAGAAGAACAAAACCCCCCAAAAAGACCAAAGACTGAAGAGCCGATCTTCTTTACGGAAGACGATGCGTGAGGGGTCCACTACCCCCACGATGACGCGCTTGTCATTAAACTAAGGATCAGCAACTTCGAGGTCAGGCGCGTACTCGTAGATTCGGG